TCCTGTAAATACGGTCAATATTAACTATGAACTAAAATAGTACATTACAGAGATATTTTACAGCCTTACACTGCACCTCACAAATCCATTTTCTTTTCAGTGTAAGTAGTTCACCATTTCTGCTTCAAAATGCAGGAGATGCATGTTACTACTTTTTAATTTGCTGGCTTTGCTTATTCTCACTTAACTTTGATTTATATTTATTTACATATGGTTGATATATATATTTGTTATATATTCATATATAACCAATATAAATGTTTTTTATATGCGTATACACATTTATATTTATTTTCCTGCCTAACTTAACTACTTGAAATATATATTGATATCTAGAATAGTTATGCTAGGCAGGAAAATAAAGTCCTTTTTGGTCATGTGCCTTACTGTAATAATGCTCTCCTGAAGCATTAGGTCAGCTCTACTATGGCAAACAAGGCTAAAAATAATACTTGAGAATAGTATGGACTGAGGTAAAATAAGCACGAGCAGCTGCCACTAGATGGCAAGACAGGCTCACATTACTTTGCAGGGCTGGGTTCAGGCTGGTTTTTATTTTTTTTCCCTTTATATAAGAGGAATATGTAACATTTGTATTTCAAACATGGTGTCGACACTTCTCTCCCATGCCATTCCAAGTTTATCTGGTGATCTGAAGTTGGTGAACGAAGCCAACCACTTGAAAAGCCCTTTAGAAAACACAGGCACCACGGAAATAATGTTTACTGGTAAGTTGAACTGGAAGATTTAAAAAAAAAAGATCTCTTTAATCTCTTTTAAAAAAAGATTTTAACAAATGTGCTGAAAAAAAGTAATGTGTTTGAAAGAAAGGGCGCTTCACTTATGTGTGAAAAGGTACAGACAAGTGTTAGAATTTGACTTTTAACAGAATTACCAAATTAAACAAATGAACTGTCAACTGTGGAAGAACCTGCTTGGCCTACAGGTGCCAGCAGGGTCTCAGGTGAGTGCCTCTACAGCCACTCACACTCCTCACACAGCCAAACCTCTGGACAGCCACGGAGCACAGGAGCAGAGGACAGCTGGGTTTAATTAAACACACAGTTAAGTGTTTCTCCTAATTGCAGAGCAAAAGCAGCAGGCAGGGTCAGACTCTGGGCAGTGCTGGCTGTCAGTAACTTGGAGAACCAGTGCAAGGTGCCCCTGCCCACGGCTGGGTTTGGAACATGAGTGGCTTTAAGGAATCTTCCAGACCATTTTCTGCTGATCTGTTTTAAACTCTGCATTTAGGAGTGCTAAAACTGGAAATTTAACTAAAAGGCAAATACAATCCTGTGAAATCAATAGTTTACATTCTGTTTAAAAACTCCAAACACCTCAATGAACACATGCTCCCAAACTTCCCTCTGGCCTCTGCTCATTTCCTTACTAACACCAGCACTGTCCACATGGATCAAATAAATGGTCTGCAAGAACACAAACATAGCATCTCTCAAATTGTTCAGCTGCCTTAAAGTATGAGTGAAGAGCAGGATGGAAATGGTTCTCAGTACCTGAAGAGCAACATTGCACCTGTAAGACTGATGTGGAAACCTGAAAGTCTCTGAATTCCATGACCCGAAACTCTTTGACACAAATGGAAGATTTAACTGACTGTAAATGAGTTTGTAAGAGCCTTGTGTAAAGCTGTGGCTGCTGACATTATCTGCATCCACTAACATCAGACCCAAAGGTAATTATTTATTATGATCTTATTCAGTCTTTCAGTTGCTCGGTTGCTATGTCAGGGTCAGAGCGAACCAGGGACAAAGAGCAGGTCATGCTGATAACCATGACTGGCCACATGAAGAAACTAACAAATGACGTGGATTAAAAAGGTCTAAAAATTACTCAGAAAATGTCCCAAATAGCTTTATTTTTTTTTCTCACAGTAGCTAAGTGCCTTCCACACACTTTACCTCCATGTCCAGGATGTTATAGATGGGAAAACTGGAAAAGTATTTCCAGACTCAGGCTGGGGCTGGTTGGCCATTTCAAACATGTATAAATAAATCCATCTCACCTCTATGCAATCTAGTATTGTTTCATTACTTCTATTGCCCAAAGTTGCTTTTTGGGTTGTACTATCTGGAGTTTAAAAGTCCTGTATGGCAGAACTGTTGTGCCCCACACATTCAGTTGTTGCTCCTAATGAACCAAGAGCAGGTTCAGTTTCTGTTTCACAGAGTTATTTCCAGAGTCCCACTGCTGCTCAAATTGAGAGAAGATGAAGACAAAAATGATGTATATGAACTTAAAGCTACATTCAAACACAAGCAGACCAGTGGAGGAAACAGAGGCACATGCTAACTCCACATAAAAACTGACTTTTCAAATTTCACTTTTGACACTGCAAACAATTTCTATTGAAAATGGAAAAAAAAACTACAAACAAAGCCCCAAAACCTCATTTATTTGATGACAATAGCTGTGTACAACCCCCATCACTGTGCCATTTTTCTGGACAGTCAGCACTGCAGTGACCATCATCCCTCACCTAAACTGGAGTATTAAAGTACAACTACAGAGAGATATAAGACAAATTCAGCTGCTGGCTGCAGAACCTCTGCCTCTGTAGATCAGGCATGAAGTGCCACAGGTTGCTAATTAACATCAGTGCTAAGGGTCTACCTGCATGAGAAAACCTCATTTTACAAAGAGCAGAGTTTTACCACATACTGTCTGAGAAGCAATTCTCCTGTATTTCTCTATCTCCATGTCTTATACTAGCAGACTGAATTATTTTTTAAAAGTAAAATATATTCCTTTTATTCTATAAAAAAATAAATGTCTCAAAAATCATGTTAGAGGTCAGCAGTGCCAACCAAAATCGACTCCTGTTGTTGTTTCTTCATTCCCAGCACATTTCCCCCTGGACTGTGACATTCCCCTGCTCTGACAAGAACTCCCCGCAGCAGCAATGATCCCACCTTGCTTACATCCCTGTGAGTGCCCAGTGCCCACCCAAAACATGAGTGCAAGAGGGAAGAAATTACTTTAAATCATCGGTGACCGCTGAGTTCTGCAAGCAGAGCTGGCAGGTGCTGGCTGTCAGCAGCTTCAGCTCAGCCCAGCCCAAACAACTCCAGAAAGCAACAACAGGCACCCTTATCACTCCAGGGTGACCTTCCAGATACATTTCGGGCTAAAGGAATTAAAATGTTACGAGGCCTTTGTGGAGCAGAGTCTCAGCGCACTAAGTATAGACACAAGCACCTCTCTCCTGCTCTGCCCATGTGGACTGACTCTGGAGAACAAATCGTTTGCTGTCACAGTCCTGGAGTGAGGGCAGGTCTCAGCGCCATTGAATGAGGGTTGCCAGCTCTCAGACCAAGACAGATGAGCCTGTTCTCTGTGGTTTGTTTCACCCTGGGATCACAGGACTTGCAGGAGAGGATGGAGAAGCAGAACAGCAGCACCCATGAAGGAAGGAGGAGGTTTTCACCATGCCTTTCCCAGCAGCAGATGATGCCCCTCCATTTTCCCGTTTCACACATGCAGGCTCTGCCTGCCAGCACATTTCCTTGTCCCGGGGCGAGCTGACCTTGGTGAGGCTGAGCTCTGGGGAAGGTTTCAGAGCCTGGCACCAAGTGCTGCCTGACAACACCCGCAGCAGCAGCAGCAGCAGCAGCAGCAGGGCTGTCTGCACTCACAGCCTCACACTGCGACGGGACCCTCCCAAACACATCAGCGCACCCACTAACACACCTGATTTCCAAACTCAAGCAATCTTAGGCACACAGCTACAGCAAGAATTAATAATGTCTTGGAAAATGTTCCTTTTCACTCTCAGGCCTCATAAAAAGAGCAGGATGATGTTGTGGCTTCGAGTCAGACTCAAGACAGATACTGGCATACAATGAGACTTTACCCGCATTCAACTTTCTATCAGATTGTCTTTCTTACATCTTCAAAGATCTGGAGTGGCTAGAAGTCTATTCACACTTCTAAAAACAAAACTCCCACATCCTCCTTCTGCGAAACCTTTAAAATAGTTACTCTCTCCTCTGTACTTCACACACTTGTCCTATCTGTGCCCCTTCCCCATCTTAGTAGTCATCATAGACAATAACAAAAAAAGTTAATTCCTCTGACATCACAACTGAAGTGGGAGGCTGAAGTTAAAAAAAAAAAAAGTGAAATATTAATATAATCTAAAAACTAAGACCAAAAGAGCCAACCTAACCAACTGCTCAAAGCACTAAAAGCAGAAATAAATTAATTAATGAGTTCTGCCAGCTCCCGAGAATTTTGTGACTGGCAGCAGCCAGATATTTTCCACTTCACTTCCAAGTGTCTTTTCATTCATGTGTAACAAATCAAGCCTCAGTTTGCCAGTGTGGAGGGAAACAAATTGAGTTTCGGTGAGGAGGAGATGTAAGCCCAGCCTCAGGTCACAAGCACCACCCTGGGCTTGCAGTAAAATGTCATTTCTTCCACCATCATATGCTATGCCCAAAGTGCCAAATGGGTGTTCAGCTCCACGTAAGACAGACCTGAGCAGAAGCAGCACATGGTCTAAACCCCTGACTTAGCTTTTCTAGGCAGTGGTGTTGAGATCTTCAAGGGCAGGGCAATGCTCAATGGGATGCACTGCATTGCCCAGGCTGGATTCCCACAGAAGCTCAGGAATCCGGCCTGTGGCTTTAGTACAGAGCTGAACACAACCAACAACGTTCTGACTTTAAAATCTCCATGGGATGGTACTTATATTATCATAAGAAATTATTTAAATATTGTACTCAAGCATTTTTTGATCTCTGCTAAAAACCTGGCACCATTTCTTGTTCTGTGCTGTACTACTTCATAAATTAAATACTCATCAGTCAGGTCCCTTCCTTCCCACCTGTCCACTTCTCTTTAAAAATAAACTATCAAATATTGCACCACACAGTGAGACACAGTTCAGAACAGGACCTTTTCTACAGACTTGCAAACAGTATTACAGAGGATTTTCTATCCTAGAATTCCTGTAATCATAATTTTGTTTTTCTGAATACCTGAAAAAACCCCGGTGGTACTGGACCTACTGGCATGCCATCTCCTGGGGGAATGTTTCCTAGCACTGGGCTGGGAGCTGCTGCAGCACTCTGAAAAGAACAAAGGGAGAATAAACCTTTGTCATTGCATGGTAGGCATTAAACTCCCCCCAAAAAAACCCCAAACCTGACCAAAGTGCAGAACGTAATTCTCTAGATATGTCATTATGCCATTGTTTCATAACTGAAGGTAAATTAAAATTGTTTAGCCTTTTGTCTATACAAGTACCATGATCTGTTGAAATAACAAATGTATTTTGAGGGGAAGGGTGCCAGAGATTGCACAGGCCAATTAGGCAAAGCTTGACTGAATTTTAAAAAATGTTGTATCTGAGTGTCTCTACATGCACCGATGTGAATGTAACTTGCATACTTCTTGTCTTATGCATATGAACAGTCTCACACATGCACAAGGATATATACAGAGCATAAAGAAAGTAATTTATGCATTTTATCAGCAATTTCTAAGCACTTTAAAGATAATTTCAGCAGCCTGTAATATTTTTCCATAACAACAACAAGCTTCAAAACAGGGCTCTGTTATAAACAGTACAAGAAGGGATGCTCAAGATTCTGCTGGTAATGCTCAAGATTTTACCAACCCCAAAAATAACCACCATGACAAATTAGAAGAATTCAGGTTACGTTTTTGGAAGGGAAAAGAAAAAAGGGATTTCTAAGAAGTGAATCAGAGGATGAAATTAGTTACCTTTGCAAATCCTTCAGCTGGAATAAGCGAGTAAAGAATATTGCTCCTGGCAATTTACATGCAGGAGATTGTCACAGAAAAGAGAAGCCAAACTGTTTCTGTTGTCATGTGCTGGAACCTCAATTACTTTTAATTTCTAGCATTCTTCCTTCCTACAATGTGTTTCTTTATGGCATGAGGCTGAATCACCTATAAATGCTCAAAATCTTGAGTGAAAGTACTGGAGCACACAGAATGCTCCCAGAGCCACTGGCAGGTTACTAATGACCTGCCAAAGCCTGCCCTGCAAAACACACAGATATTAAATTATCACTCTATTTATTGTGCACCCACACTCGATAGCCTAAAGATGCAGATCTGGAAATTGCATTTCCAGGTGTTTGGCACAACACCTAGGAAAGGAAAGAATACTGCTGGAAAGATCTGAAGACTGGCACAAAAGGAGGGATGAATGACCTTTTTCAACCAAGCAGAAAGGAAACATTCAGTTAATCACCACAGATTTCTTCATGGCTTAAGCTGTGTTGAAGAATTAAAGTTCTGAACAACTAGCAGTAACATATTTAGCATCCAAGCTGAATGTTCTTTGGAAAAGTCTGGAATGTATCACTGAAACATAAAGTCTGAAAAAGATGTTGGATTTCAAAACGAGTGCAAGGCTTTTATTCATGAAAAAATCGTCTAATAAAGGGTATTATCTATGCAAGGATCAGTGCTAAAACACTGTAGAATTGCAGCTGACAGGGAAAGCCAGCCAGGTGAGCTGGATGCAGCAAATACTTTGGAATTGTAACCACAAATCATGCAGGGAGAGGCCACCACAAAGCAGCCAGAGCAGCCAGGGAAGCTGTGGCCAAAAAAGGTGGTGCTCTGCCAGCCACTGCCACTCATGTCAAATAATTATTTTCGTATCATTTCCATTTCCAAAGGAAAACAGGAAAAAAAGCTGTTGGTTTGTTGCTGTTTGGAGGTTTTTTTTTAAGGACATACGATCTCTTTAAGCATCAATGTGCAATAAACCCATGAGAGGCACAGTCTGAGTGGAGCATGTTGGATGCACTAATACAGGTACAGGTTTTCTGGCTGAGGGATGACAACAACAGCACCACTGATGGAGAAAATCAATGATGTTAAAAGCCTGAGCATCTCCAAATGCCCCAAAGAGCCTGAGCTGCAGTGGCTGACCAAGCAGGAGCAGCCCATTAAAGGGGCACTGCTGGGCTTCATTACAGCACCATCATCCCCCAGAGCCCTCGCTGAGCATGGCATGTGCCCCCTGCCAGGTCCTTGGGGTCACAGGGGAGGGAACAGCCCCGTGGGATGAGGAGCTCCCACAGGGATACAGCACCCTGCTGCTCAGAGTTCATGCTCTTTCCCACTTTGAAAATTATTCTTTAAAAACCCCCAGCAAATTTAGTTAAAAAATAGAGGGGAAGGGAGAAATAATGACTATTCCAGAACAAAGGGAGAAAAGGATTGAAGTTATAACTGTTAGCCATTTGTGGCCTAAAAAGGCTTTATATTGTAAGGAATATACCTAAAAATAACATTTTCATAATAGTCTCAGAGAGGTGGGGTTTTTCCCCTGTTTCTGCCTCTCCCTTGGCAGTGACACCAGAGGAACCCAGCCCCGTTCCTGGTGAATCACCAGGAACTGGCAGGGAGGGACTCGATGTGCTGGGTTTGATTTTTAGTGGGCTTTTAGTGGATTTTCAGTGCCTGATGGCCCTGCCAGGTCCGAGCACCTGTGCAAACGCCCTGCCCTGCCCCTGTGAGAGGAGGGAGGGAGGGAGGACTCAGAGGCTGCGTGGCCACAGCAGCAGGGCAGAGCTGCAGTGCCATAACCCCAAGAATTCTGCAGGTGCACTCCCAGGTGTCACAGAAACCTCCATCTCTACCCCTCATTATGCAATGCACTGGGTTGGTTTTTTTCTCTTTTCATGTTTGTTTGGGATTTTCTTCCCTGATGGGCAATGAAGTCCCAAAGCCAGAAATAAAGTATTTTCAGTGTTTTGGGTATATTACATTTCCTAGCTTGTGCTAAATAATGAATCTTTTAAGAACTTCTACCAGGTAGATCAATAAACAAACCTGCAACTGCCGCATGGAAATATTCTTATTTATTCTATCCTGATGAATTATTCATTCTTTTTCCACAGTCCCATAGCAAACCATGGCCTCCTTTTGCATGCCTTACAAGTTGTTCATCATTTATACTTCCATTAGTTTGACATTTTAAATATTTGCAAATTGCTTTCTCTGCTTTTCATAAAAAGATGAAATCGGAAAATTTAGATGGTATAAACTCCTTCTACAGTAGCTTACCTCCTTAAAAATGGAAAGCTGTATTTGCTTTTCTAGCTAAAATAATGAATTTATACTAATAAATTTATAATAATTTACAATTATTAATTAAATCTATGTACTTGACTGAAAGTTATTATGGTCATTCCTTCTCTACCCATGCTACTCTCGGCAATGCAAAAATAGATTATTGTAGTAACTAATAAAACTAGCTATGGTTTAGGATGGATTTTATAATAAAGAAATTCCAAAGTAAATAAAATGTAAAGTAAAATCGTTTAGCTATTCCACTAGTATAGTATCTGAAGTATAAAAATGCAGAAATAAACCTGCAATGCTCATTTTTTGAGGCCATCCCAAGAAGTGGCTGATGAGGGAAGCCTACAAAGAATTTCACTTGAAACCAAAAAATGGTACAAAGAAATTACTTGACTTTATAAAAATCCTCACCTGGCTCTTTCCTTCACCAAGACATTCAATTTCAGGTATTTTGCTTACACTAAAACTTCCTATTTCAATCCAAAGTTTACCACATGTTACTAAATTTGTCCAGTCAGGGGAGAGTTCTGTTTTTAAGAAGTCTCACTGATGGGAAATAATGTAATCTACTGGATGATGGAGGGGAGGAGCTGGACCCTACAAGTAAAAGTGTTACACACCCAATTCCTTCATCCCCTCACCCTCCTCCACGTCAGCCCTAAATCTGCTCTTATCATGTAGGAACACAATATTTTCATATATTCATACAAGCAACCAAAGCATGGCATCTCCAGACAAAGATATTGTGCCATGGATGGTACAGACACAATCAGCTGAACTAGAGCAGAAAGGATCAACATCTCAGGATATTTTTATATACACTGGTATTGGGTTGATGAAACAAATTGAACAGTGAGTGTGGGATGTGAAGGACAATGCAGGAACCCACAACCACGTTTGAAATGCTGGTGAGAGCAGCACAGTCAGAAGGAGAAACAGAAAATGTCAAAACTTAAACAATTGATGCTTTTTTTTTCCTCCTTTTCTTTTCTGGGGGCAGGGGATAAATATCTGGTACATAAACGTAGGAAATTATGGGAAGTAAGGAATTTAAACACAGTTGCAGGTTGGTTTTTTATTTTTCTGGAAAGACAAATGATGGATGATTACTATTTCCAGTCATATTTACCAAATGTTTAATTTCTGGTCATTGATAGCTTTGAAGTGCCAGGCATACTGCAGCCAGTACCATAAAAAATACTGAATTTCCTTTCGAAAACACTTCAATTTGTAATTTACCAAGGCTTTCTAAGACACCTTAGAGCTGGTTCCTGTATCAGACCTTCCCTATTTGCACCCATCACAAAATAAAGAAGTATTAAAGAACTACATTGATTAACCACTAGCAACCTCCTTGTTTTCTCCAAGATGGAACATAAAACTACTCATCGCTCTGAACAACAAAATAAATAACATTTCAAATACTTGAAATAAGTCTCTGTGCCTTTTACAAAGCCTTTGAACATGTGGCTGCACACCAAGAAGCCAAAACCCCCAGACTGAGCAGCCTTGGTTTACTCAACACAGATTGGAAGGTCATGCCCAAAAAAGGTGGATTCATCACACTGAGAGAGGCAGGTAATTCGAAAGATCTGGATCATGAGACCTAATTAAACCCTGGCGTAGCTCCACTGATATATATTTGTCTGAACTGCTTAATTTCTGTTGTGTAACAGGAAGGCATTCACATGACTGCACAAGTCTGAGAACTCTCACTGTGGAAGGTCATTCCTTACAACTTCTCAGTTTTCCTCCAATCCCAGCTCCCTGTGGTTTCATCTGGATTCTGCTATTTTACTTCCCTTCATTCCATCTTATTTATGAGTAATAAAGAATAATAAAAATAACGATGCCATCGATGCAGATGGAAAAAACCCCACGTTTATTCCTTTTCTTGGAAACACAAAAAGGGTTGCACCAACAGATGTGGTCAGTTAGGGAAGAGCAGATCTGTTGATAATGATGATGATGATGAAGGTGTCCTCTGAGACTTCACCCA